TTATAAAGATAAAGTTAAATATTGGCATGATAAGCATCCTATATCTAAACAATTTGAGGTGGACAAAAAGTTCTCTTATACAATTCACACCTTAGATTATTTCCCGAAAAATTCAAATCAAGATGGTCGGGATCATTTGAAGTCATTCAAGTCTTTCCTTATAGGGCCGTGTAAGATATGATCGGTTCAAAATCAATGGACAAAGATTAAAATCCTTCTTGATGGGTGAAATCGTCCCCAAAGGACTCATATGTCCTTTGGGTAACTCTTCTTCAACTTAATGAGCCAAATCTTTTGAGTCGAGTCAACGACTCTAAACAAAAGCGCTAGTTGGGAGGCAATCGAATGTTTTTATTATATATGTTAACTCGGTGTGATTTCGTGTTTAACACATATATTTAAATTAGTTTGTTGTTTTTGTATTGTAGGTTCGGCAAATGGAAGCAAAGAGGATCATTTGAGGCGAAAAAAGCGAAGTTTGGTCAAGAAACTCAACCTCTCGACTTGTGTTAAAGGTGTTATTGATCAGTTAGAAAGGGGTAAAATAGATATTTTGATCATTTTACTTGCGCGTGCAATGATAATTTTGGCAAAAAAATGATCTAAGATATATTTTGAGTACTTGAGGGTAAAAGTCGCATTTTTGGTATAGTATGAATTTCTGCACAAAAATTGCAGAAATTCACAACACTTAGTTGATTACGCGACCCCAAGCCGCGTATTTCAAATCGCGTTTTCCATTCTATATTGACAAAATAGAATACATGACTATTAGTGAAGTCGCGTATTCATTGGTCGCATATTCAATTCTACACCAACAAAGCAGAAAATGCGACATACTAAAACGTGACTTCAAGTTGCATTTTGAGGTTGTGTATTGCCTCTTAATGTTAAAAATAAAAAACATGAAGAAGCTTTCTTTCACTTTTTTCTTCATATTCCTCGCATTTTCTCTCCACCAAAACACACACAATTCACACACTTTCATTTTGACTCCATAGTTTTGCTAGAAATCATTAACCCAACACCTTTTAATCATCATATAGCTTTTCTAATCGATTGAAATCCAAGAAAAACAACTAAAAAATTGGTTTTTAATTAATTTGGGGTTAGGGTTCTTGGTTTTCAATTTCTTCAAATGGAGGTCAATTGGGGTGTTTCTCAGAAGGCATTTTGCATATTATTCATCACCAAACATCCTTCTACGTGATTGAGATAAATTTCTTCATTAATTCTTTGAATTTTAGAAGCTGGTATTTTTTATTTTTCTAGCATCTTCTAATTTTGAAATTTTGATGAATATTATGGATGTTTATGATTTCTAATATGTTTATTGATGTTATTCAAGCATGATTACATGTTCTACTATAGCAACTGGATGTCTATATTGTTGTTAAATTTTTGAGTTCTGTATTTGGATAAAATTGAAAAAGTTGCTTGGATTGTTATTGAACCCTTGTTTATGGATGATTATGATTAAAAATGGTTGGTTGATGGTGTTTTAGCATGTACATTATTGATTAGGAGTAATTTTGATGGATTTTATGATTTTTCAGGATAATTTTTGCCTAATTCATGTTTATGGCTACATATTAGCTATTATTGTCGATTAGTATTTGCTATAAGCATGATTATTGCTAAAAGTCACTAAATTGATCTTATTTGTTACTGATGACAAGAATTTGGTGATTTTGGTAATTTGTCAGCAAGTTTTCATGTCATGTCTATATGTCATACTATTATACATTTTTGAAAATTTGCATCGATTATTTATGATGTTATGATGTGTTGGTATGGTTGATTTAGTCAATTTTAATCCCCATATTTGAAATGAAATTCTATTGAATTGCCTACGATTACTATAATTGGAAAATTTCTTCTTAGGTATTCTGTTAGAATTGTTTCTCCTATGATATGTGATGTGTGTTCCTTTATGCTTTAATATAAGAGTTAATTGTTTTTTTAGGTACCATGGTGGGAAGAAATCGACTAGTTGTTTATGAACCCTTTTCTTCTAGTAGTGAGAAGACCAAAGAGATGGAAGTCAGCGAAGAAATTGAGGAACGTGAAGACAAGGAGCAATCTCTGTCGCCTCAACTAGTGCCACGACATCAATCGGGAAAAACATTGCAATAAGCTGAGCCGATGGTTTATGATAGTGCCAAATTTTCAATGCTGCAGAATCAAGAGCGGTATGATGCACATGCTAACTTGGAATTCTTGTTTGAAAAGCATGTGAGGTCAGATATTGAAGCAGTGTATCGCATTTCTGAGGCTTTTAACCAATTTGGTTGGGCGTCGATTCTGAACCTGTCAACATATTATTACCCTGATCTAGTGCGCGAGTTCTATGCCAACATCGTCAACAGGGCACATCACAATGGTGAGGTGGTAGAGTCGTGGGTGTGTGGGAAGTGCATTTATTTAATACGGGAGCGTTTGGCAGTTATTTTGGGTTGTAGCAACTAGAGTCGGGCGGTTCATCTGAAGAAGAGATTTGTCACACCCAATAAGTGGTAGGATCTATCGCACGCCATGAATAGGTTTGGTTTTAAGTACCAACCTTTTTGGTCTTCATAAAAGGAAACAATGGTGGCAAGTGTCCTTGACTCTCGCTATCGTCTCATTATTTATATGATGGCGCATAATGTAATTCCAAAGAAGATGGGTTACAACGAGGTTCGGAAGAGCAACATCTACTTCCTTCATTATATGTTCCACGACCGGGAATCCTTCTATGCCCGTATTCTTCTACCGAACATCATCGTCAGTTTAAAACACTCCACGGAGAGAAGACGCATAATGTTGTTCAAATTAGCATTTCCTCGCCTACTTTCCTTGATGTTTGAGAGGATGAAATTTAATTTGGCTGGAGCTACTCAAGAAGTTGTTCGCCCTAGTATTGATTTATCTTTAACTTGACTATGAAGCATGGGCATAGATGTGGCAGCCGTCCCTCGACTAGTTCGGGAACGACGAGACAAGGTGCAACATGGTCGAGATGAGGTTGGCCCCTCCACTGTTGCACCACCACCTCTTTCTCCTGTGCATCCATCTCAATCCAACTGGCAGAGGCTTTTTGGTTGTTTGGATGACATTGAACATCAATTAATCAAAATGGATACTCACCTGCACTACATTGAAGATCATTTCAGCAAGAGCTAGTCCACCTCCCATGCATGATAAAAAGGGCGACGACTAAGGTTCCGCCAGATTTAGCATGATCTTTATCTTTGTCTCCATCTTGTTTTATCTTCGTGGTTGTATTTTGTTTTAACTCTTCTTTAAGGGATGTTTAACTCGCACTTCTTATTTTACAATTCGGAACTTGTGGTAGTTGTTAGTAGATGGTTTATTGTAGATGGTTGATCAGTCGATGGCTCGTGATTCAAGGTTGAATTGGACCGCAACCATTAAAATAGGGAGTAACTTGTTCTTATTTTGCATCTTTTCTTTCCCTAAACATTGAGGACAATGTGTATGCTAAGTGTGGGGGGAGAATTGTCTTAAGATGTTATTTTTGTGTTTAAATGTTTGAACATGTTATTCGATAATTGCCATGTGTCTTGAATGCTGTCAATCTTAGGTTTGTTGACAGGGAGTTTTGTCCGTGTGTAAGGAAAAACTCTACCCAAATTTTTTCAAAATCTTGTCCAAAATTGTAAATTTGCCATAAAAAGTTTCAAATTGTTTCGATTTTATCAAAGGGTAACAAGTTGCACACCATTAGTAATTCAAATTTCTTCTACTTTTGAGATAAATATATGTGACTTGGAAACTTCTTTTCTCAATTTACTTGGAAATGACTATTATGTGATTATAATTTGTGTATTTATAGGAAAGCATATCGTGTAAAATGGAGACAATTATGCCTAAATTTTGTATGATTGATGAAATTTCTTCTCTTTACTTGATTTTACATAGTTAAGTGATAAATATAGTCAATAATTGCAATACTCTTTTCATGATTATTCTTTTGGGGGACTAATTATTATCTTTTCTTCAAAAAAAGGGGAAAAATGGAAAAAATGAAAAATGAAGAAGAAAACAAAAAGAGAATAAGAGTTGTTCTACTCTAATGGTTCTTATACTTAGTAACGGCGAGTCTTCATCTACAAATATCGATTTTTACGCAAAACGGTACTTGAATTAAGAGTAGGCAAGGCAACTTGAGGATGTGTAGTGTTGAGTAACCAGCGATTTTCATCTAAAAATATCGATTTTCGCGTCAAAAGACACTTTCACAACTTAGTAATATTTAGCTATGAATGAATCCCTCTTTAAATATGAATAGATGATCATGGGTTTAGGAAGCATTTTTATTGACCATGGGAATTATTTGCTTGTGAAATTGGGTAAGATGAGACATTGGGTTGAATTAGTTAAAATTATGGCATAATCGGCTCTCTTTTACTTGATATTATGAGTACTTGAACTTAGTTGACTGATTGCATAATGGTTATTCACCTTGTTTTGAGAAAATGAAATTGAATGATGCACATATTTTTATTTTCAAAATTTTGGATCATTGTTGGACAAACAATGGTTCAAGTGTGCGGGAGTTTGATAAGTACATATTTTACGTGTTTTAAGTGTATATTAGTAGTTAGTTTGATGTGTTTTATTTAGTTTTATAACTAATTAACTAGGATTTTAGTGAAAATAAATATTTTGTGGTTTAAGTGGTAAAAATTACATTTTTATGAATTTTAATGGTGAAAATTTCATGTTTTTGTAGGTTGAAGGATTCAATCATCAAATGGCATGAATTGAGAAGAGAATTAGATGATTGATGATGGTTTGAAATGATAAAAAAGAGAATATGAAGTGCAAAATACTCAAAGGATGAAATGCAAGTTTTCCAACATTGATATCTTGTGGTATTTTGGCAATATCTTGATCTATAAGCATTGGATTGAGGTGATTCTTATACAATTTTGAAAGTAAGAGATAGATCTACATTTGGTATGATACATTGAAGTCTAGTTCAGCAACGGCGCATGCAAGCAGTGATTCATAGGGTCCATGATGCCAATCAAGAGTGGGTGACTGAGGAAGCGCGTATCGGGGCTGAAGCAATCAAGTATTTCTCGTCTCTTTTTTCGATGGAGGAGGCTCCAGCAAATTCAGAGGTACTTGGGGTCATCCCAAAATTATTGTCGGAGGATGACAATGAGCAATTGCAGAATATTCCATCCTTTGAGGAAGTGCGGCAAGTGGTCTTTGCGATGGACGGGGATAGTGCCGCCGGTCCGAATGGGTTCACTAGCAAATTCTTTACCTCCTCCTGGGATATAATTGGCAGAGATGTGTATAGAGCGGTGCAAAGTTTTTTCTGTGGAGAGGAGCTTCCGCGACGGGTTACTGCTACCTCCATAGTTCTATTGGCCAAGGTAGCACGTCCAAAGTGTTTTTTTGAGTTTCGCCCGATCAGTTTGTGTAACTTTGTGAACAAGATTTTTTCTAAGATTCTCGCGGCTCGGCTTGCGCCTATCCTTCCCAAGATAATTTCTGCAAATCAAAGTGGTTTCGTTTGGGGGCGGTTAATTTCGGATAATTATTTGCTAGCTCAAGAACTGATTTCTAATATGGTTAGCAAAGTAAGGGGAGGGAATGTGGCATTGAAGTTGGACATGATGAAAGCTTATGACCGGGTAGTATGGCCTTTTTTGATCAATGTGCTTAGGGCTTTTGGGTTTGGAAAGCAGCGGATTGATATGGTTTGGCGGCTCATTTCGAATGTCTGGTTTTCAGTGGTTGACAATGGGGCTTTGTTTGGCTTCTTTAAGTCAGCAAGGGGGCTACGCCAAGGGGATCTGCTCTCCCCTGCTTTGTTTATCATTGGAGTCGAGGTGTTGTCGAGGTCACTAAATAGTTTGCCGTACTTCCGAGGGTTTCAGGGGTTTTTCGTTCCAAGGGGTTGCCCTCTAGTGACTCACTTAGGATATGCGGATGATGTGCTTGTTTTCTCCAGTGCGACTGTGAGATCCTTAAAGTTAGTGAAGTGGGTTTTGACAACCTATGAGGCAGTTTCTGGGCAACGGATCAATGCGGGGAAAAGTTGTTTCTTGGTGCACCTAAAGGTATGCCTATCCACGAAGATGGCCATTCAGAGGTTAACTGGTTTCATGTATAAGCCTTTCCCGATTAAATATCTAGGGTTCCCCCTTTATTGCGGTCACCGGAAAAAAGAGTACTTTGGGGGTTTGTGTCAAGCAGTCCTTCTTCGTATTCAGTCCTGGCAGAACAGGGTGTTGTCTCAGGGAGGGAAGATAGTGTTGTTGAAACATGTCCTTTCATCTATGCCGATTCATCTGTTAATGGTGGCTTCTCTTCCCAAAGCTATTTTCTTGGAGCTTGAGGGCATGTTTGCTAATTTCCTTTGGGGAGCTTCAGAGGGGGGTTCCAAGTATCATTGGATTCGCTGGCAGGACCTGTGTGTGTCACAAGAAGAAGGGGGGTTGGCCTGTGCCAATTGGAGGATGTCTACAAAGCTTTCTCCATCAAGTTGTGGTGGAATCTTCCGGCACACACATCTTTGTGGGCTGATTTCATGCAGGCTAAGTTTTGTCGGGCGGTGCACCCGAATCTGGTGTTTGATGGCAAAGGTTCAGAGGTGTGGAGACGGATGGTGAAGGTGCGGAATATTGCTGAGAGACATATCGGATGGATTGTTCGTTCCGGGAGCTCTAATTTTTGGTTCGACAATTGGTTTGGTTCAGGAGGTTTGTCAGACCGGTTGGATAGTGTATCCGACCATAAGATTGTGGATTTTGTGCAACATGCTACCTGGGATGTCCAAAGTATTGCACAATGGGTGCTTTCGGAGATAGTCGCTGAGATTGTTCGAGTTGACCCACCTGCCGGGCAGCTACCTGACCTCATGATTTGGAGACCAGAGCATTCGGGATATTTCAAAATAAAGTCAGCGTTCAACTTGGTCCGACATCAGTCTTCCTCCTCGCTACTATTCAAACGTATTTGGCATCGAGGTGTGCCATTGAGAATTTCATTCTTCCTGTTGCGCCTGCTGCGGGATCGTCTCTCCTTAGACTGTACCTTATGGAAGTTGGGGATTCATGGACCGTCGCGATGTGTGTGTTGCTCTTCACCTGAGGTCGAAACTGCGGAGCATGTGTTTGCTGCTGGGGATATGGCGCAACAAGTGTGGCACTGCTTTGGGGATACGGTTAGAGTTGCCTGGACTGGGCTAGCCTTTCGCGTATGTATTGCGGCCTGGTGGCAGGGAAAGCGAGGAAATAAGTTTCTGGAGTTTATTCATCATGTTACCCCCTTGTTGATTTGTTGGCACATATGGAAGGTTAGGAATGGCATGAAATATGATGGTAAGAAGATCGAGGGGGTCCAGCTATGTCATGGTGTTGTTGTCGATCTTCTAGAGTTGTTTAGGGTACAGTTCCCAGAGTGCAGGGTGTCATCGCTATCTTGGGTAGAATTTTATCTGGAGGTTTCCAATTGGAATGCAGCTAGGTCTTACATGCTGGTTAAATGGGTACGGCCCTCACACGGGGGCCTAAAACTCAACACAGACGGGTGCTCCAAGGGTAACTCTGGGGAGAGTGGGGGTGGGGGTGTGCTTCGGGAGGCTAGTGGTAGGCTGGTCCTGGCGTTTTCGTGTAATTTTGGTATAGCTTCGAGTATGCAGGCTGAGGCCTGGGCTCTGCTATTTGGGGTCAGGTTATGCCTTCAGCAGGGTTTTGATTCATTTGATGTTGAACTGGATTCCTTGGTGTTAGTGCAAATTTTAAATCGGACATCTCGTTGCCCATGGAGTATTTATAAGGAGATTTATCAGTTGGTTGGTTTGTTGCATCATTTTTCATGAGTTCATCACTGTTATCGCCAGGCTAACCAGGTGGCAGATATATTGGCCAATGAAGGTTGTCGGCATGACCGGGAGGAGATCTACTTGGCAGCTTCAGCCTTACCCCAAATCGCGAGAGGAGCATTTCACTTAGATAGGTTAGGAGTTGCGTCTCTTCGTCGGTTGAGATGAGCTAATGTAAGGGAGTAGTACTCCACATTTATATTTATTTAACACAGAATAAATAAAAGAAGTTATTAAAAAAAAAAGTCTAGTTCAGCCGTTTTCCTAGTCAAGAGGTTAAAATACAGAAGTGCATTTTCATGGTCGAAAGTTGAAACAGAGTTCTGACCAGTCAGGGTATTTTGGTTATTTGTGAGAACCCATAAATTTTTCGATTTTCTAGGCTTTATTTTATTTAATTGCACGTCTTTTATACATTTTCTTTATTAGAAAAATTTTCTAAGTAATTTTTATGAGTAAATAGGGTTTTTAAATTATTTTTTTAGTATAAGTTAGTTCATGAGGTTTTAAGGGTATATACCGGAAGTGGGACCCACTAGTGCGGTAAGTTCGGTAAAATTCGGTCAATTAGGCTAAGTTTTGTATACTGGGTTTAATTTATCAGGTGTCAAGAGATAATTAGAGGTTATCTAGATGGACTATCAATGGAGAGACAAAAGGATAAGTTTAAACTTTAAAGGTGCTAGGTGTCGCGCTACGGCTGGTTCTTGGACTTTTACCATCTTACACTAACTTTACTAAATATTTAATTTAGACCCAAAATAACCTTCATTCATCATCCTTCTTGGTCGAGCTCTTCAAGAGGAAAAGGAAGAAAAACCTTCAACATATTCCTTCCAAAACTTGCTTCAATTTTCGAATCTAACCGATAAAACTTCAAATCACTCCATAAAAACCCTTAGCTAGGTGGTATTGAAGTAGTTAGTGAAGTGGGTTGGAAGAAATTGGTGCTAAGCGACTTCCTTTCTTGAGGTTGCAAGGTGAGTAGCTAGGGAATTCTTTCTTTGGTCTTGATAATGTCAAATTAATGACTTGTGTTGGTTAAAGATGTGATTTGGTGGAAGATTTCTTGATTTTTGGTAGAGATTGGTGAATTTTATTTTTATTCATGATTTTTTTTTCTGTTTTATATGTTTAATATTGTGTGGCTATGGATGATGGTTTGGAATAGTCTAGGATGAAGTTTTGATGCGTAAATTGTAGCTATTTGCGGAAAATTTCCTCTTTGTACCAAAATTTCCAGATTAGGGTTTCAATTAACCCCTGTTCTGGCCGGTTCTGTTCGGCTAGGTTAGAGGCTGAATCAGCCTTGGATTAAAACATGAAAGTTGTAGAGAATGATGTTTTATAGTTGTCTGCAAAATTTCAACCCAATCGGAGTAATGTAGCCAGTGAAAAGACTGAAATACCCCTGCTGCCCTGTTTCTGTCCGAAACTGATAATCAGTTTGGGTAATTGGTTAGTTTGACTGGGAATACTACTGATTTGGTTGTCAATGTCTTCTTAACATTTATATTCTGGTATCTTAGCTTTCAGATGGCTTTGGAATCACTTGAATTGGAGTTGTATGTGCTGAGATATGATTGAATGAATCAGGACTGCTGGTTGCATTTCATAGTAAACTTCGAACTGGAAAATCTGGGATTGCTTTGATAAATTTGACCTAGATACATTGCAAACTGGACTGAGTGGCCTTGTTCAACATTGTATCCCTTTCTCTTAGCTTCGAAACGGTGTAAATTGCACCCCAATCCTATAAATATAGCTCCAGTTGTGACCGTTTCGCTAAATAACGTCAAAACTGTCTTTTGGTTTTAGGGCCTAAACTTCATTTCCGGACATTGTCCTAACTTGAATTTGTACTTGTACCACTTGGAGCCTATTGAACGGCTATTGAAATGAGATTATTTTGTGTGTGATTTTGGAATTGATTGAGGAAAACAATGAAGCCACATATGGCTGGAAAATAGGTAAATATAGAGGGTATGCTGCCCAAAATTTAAGGACTATGCGATTCTTTTAAGTTAAGTTGATCTTGGTAAAAATGATGGGTTTTGGGAGTTGTTTGTAACCCTAGGACTAACTGTTATCCTTTTTGCTCAAAAGTCATATTTTATTCTTTCGTACTAGTAGTTAACCTGGAAAGGCGTACGACATGTAGTCGAGCCTCATTTATGCATTCCATTTACTAGATTTGTGACTGTGGGAACCATAATTGTTTACTTTGGTTATTCTAGGGTTTCTTGGTGATTAGAGCCCTACCTTAGTTGAAACTTTTGACGTATCCTTGTTTAACTGATGAGTGCACCACTCCCCTGAATTATTGCTAAACTGGGTTTCTGTACTTGCAAATTGCTATTTGAATGTCTTTCCTGACTGTTTATCCTGTATGAGACGAGAATGTACTTTATCACACTCGTTCTCTTGTCTGTACTGAACGAACTGGAATCTATTACTTGTACTTGTTATGTACTTGAACTTGTTACTTGCACTTGTTATGAGGTTGTTTGGAATTGTATCCAATGATCTTCCTGTTAAACTTGAGCTCAACCTCATGGAGAGTTAATTAAATCGAGCCAGCAAAGGTTTGGTCGAGATAATTGACAATCCATGGGTACCTGTTCCTGGGGAATCATTGGGTATTGAGACTCTTGATTCCGGTATACTTGAGTATTACCATTCCTGTTCCTGTTTGGCGTTCGGGCCCGGTAAGGGGTATGTTTGGTGAACGGGATTTTGGCGTTAAAGTGGTATTCTACTGGACGGGTTTCTTTATTTAAACGTTGACGGAGGGTCAACGAGGCTGGATCAAGTATAGCAACGGGGATTTGGCTCCTGAGAGCCACCTGTATCCTTTACACTGTGATGTTCATTCATTTCTCGTATTTGGTGTGAATATGTGCCTCCAAAGTGTTTTCTCATGAATTCTACTGATTCTACTGTTTATACTGTTGGTACCTCATTGAGCTTTTAACTCACCCCGTTTCGTTATCCTTGTTTTCCTTACAGGGAACCATCTTTTGGAACTTCAATGTTTTGAGAAATGAGTTGAGTTAGTTAGAAATTCTTTTGTTCTTTTGGTATAGCTCCTCGACAATTTGGAAACCCTAAATGTATCTTAATACAATGTTTCCTTTTGGATTTGTAAACTTACTAATATGTATATTTTAAAGTGTGTCCTCATGTTTATGTAACACATGTATTCGGGAATATACCTTCTTTCATGGCAAATAAAGTGTACTTGTACTGGGTTGGATCCTACATGGCGGCGGCCCTTCCATTTCATTTTGATTCTTGTAGTTTTATTCCAGTTTTGATGGAGGTATGACTGAGTCCCGGCGATAGTTGGGCAGGCGGTCCGCCGAACCCTTTGGTTCGCCTTAGGGTGAGGTGGGGCTGTCACATTATTTATTGGTTCACAGAGCTCAAAATTGGATGATTCTTGATACATTGAAAAGTTGACTCAAAGGACTACAATTTTTATATTTTATACAAGAGCTAGCTTAGCTTCTAACATCAAAAAATTATCAGTTGAAATTGGAGCAAAGATGAATTCTACCTAGAAAGTGCAAACCTGCAAAGGAGAAAACGTGGGGGTGCAATACGAGACTTAAGGTCACTTTTTCAAGTCACGTATTCATCATTTTCGGCTGCAACTTGTTCTTTGTTCACACAACTTTCCAACTTAATTCTAACAAGTAATTTCGGCTGTATCTGTCCAAGAAGAGTATGGAAAGTTGGAGAAACAATGGGAGTTTCAAGAGTAAAAAATGACAACTAGAAACAACTCATTTGACTCTTGAATCCTCTATAAATAGCAACCTTTGGAGACCATTTTCACAATTTTGGAAGACTAAAGAAACTTACCAAAAATGTAGTCTTGACTAGAATTTCCTTAGTTCATTAGTTAGAATAATATAGTATAGTTAGTGTAAGTTTTCTTCTTGTATTTCTAGCTGGACTTGGATGAAGATTTGAAGAGTAAAGATGGAGAGTTAGACCTCATGTGACAAGGGTGACTTCTCTCTTATCACGTTCTCTTTTGTATTTAAGTTCATGTTTAACTATAATACAAGTTTGGTATTTGTTTTCATGTTTAGTTAAAGTTTATGCCTAGAGTTATAGATGAACTTTTTATATCTTGTTAGTGATATTTACTTGGTTATTTGATGATATTATTTTGATCAAGTTATTTATTACTTTTGCTTTTCTAATGATGATTAACCGGCCATTAATTATGATAACTTTAAGGTGTTAAGTTTGCAATGAAAATTATAATTTAGCACTAGTTCAAAAAAGTAATAAACCTAGGAAGTACACTCACGAGAATAGAGGAGCACTTATGTGCCTTTAGTGACTTGTTTCATATAATTTCATAAAAGAAATGAGTTTGTAGTTAATTTCATAACCATGAGAGTAGGTATGATTTAACTACAAGTATAGTTGATTCATTACGAGAGTAGGTTTTACATACATTAGGAAATTACGCCATAACTGATCAAGAAATTAGCATTTACTTAATCGATAACTTCACTTGCAAAAATAGTAAGGAATTCCATACATCTAGGAGTTTTTTTATTGTACTTTTGTTACTTTAATAGTGTAGATTTAATTTCATTACTTGTGATAGTTTAAATAATAAAGAAGTTCAAAAATCACCGGTAATTGAAAATCTTTCCTGTGGATTCGGTCCTTAATATCCTATATTCGCTCATGACCTGTATACTTGCAAAAAAATCGCTTGTGGAGTATTTAGGATGTTATAAATGTGAAATTTGTCTGTGGAATGAGTTCATTATTATATGTATACCCTGCGCTCGTCACCCTTGTCTTGCTAAGGATGCATTTCACTCAACCCATCAGAACTCACTCTCGCCAATGAATCGAACTTAGCCTACACTAGAGTTTCCCTACTTTCATGGTGAAATCTCAAGTATAAACTAGATCAAGCACAAGAAATATCATAAACATCCACCTAGGTGCACCACTACTTTTGTGTGTCTACTCCTTAGGTTCTATTCATTCATTTTCCATTATTGTCAACTATTTTTATAAATTAACAATAACTAAAATGGCTTGTAAATGGTGATCAAGCATTCACAAGTATTAAAGCATGAACAAATGAACTAGCAAGTATAAAATATAGCAATAATCAACTTCATTCAACC